TAATTATTTGAAAGATGTTCTTTATAAAATGATAAATCTGGTAAATTTTACCTACATTGGATTTTTAAACTCACGACGTTGTGGTACCATTATAAAAACTCGAGGTGTTTTCTCATTCTGAATTTTTATTAACTAAAACTCATATGTTAATAATCACATGATTGAACATAAACAAATGAACAAAAAAAAAAATGCAAATAATAAACACCATTCGTGGAATTGTTTCAGTAAGATTTAATACAGAGGTCTTGACCTCATCTAGTTTCTTATTCATATCTTTCAAACTTATTTTCATTTCTTGATGATATCTTTCTAAGAATAATAAAAATCGTTCCTACATACATACAACAACATAATAATTATCCATATGCAAATTTTATATTTATATTAATTGTAATTCAAAACTCTACCTGTTGTAAATCAACATTCATTTGTTTTAGTTCATCATCTTTTATATCTGGATTAAGTTCTTTGGCCTCTTTTTCAATTTGCATTTTACATTTTTCATGATAAGCCTTCTCTAAAGAAACAAAGAATATAAAAATATTATTATTTATTATCAATGTTTATTATTTATCACACCTAATAAAGAATACTTGCTTTCTTCTACAATGGTTTTATTTTGGGCATGGTTAAAATCATCTTGAGCATCATTGAATTTTGACAATTTCTTATAATATGTTGTTTCCTTTTATAAAAGTTATAACAAACATTAATAAACTTTAAAATTGCAATTGGTTTTTTAATAAAACTTCATTCTTACCTTAAATTGAGCCAATGTCATTCTAAAGTGATTTCATAGAAAAAAGAAAAGGATTAAATAACTGTGTGCATGTGAATAAAAATATAAGAAATTATAAAAGCAATAAATATCAAAAATAGATTTATACCTGTTATTAACATTTTTTTCCAACAATTTCTCAATAACATCAGCAGCATAAGGTTCATCAATAGTAGTTATTGGCAATTTTTTGTCAGGACATTTTTGATCAGCAATATTCCAATAACCATTTTCAATATAGTATAAAATTAATCCAAATGAAAACATGTCCATGGAAAATTGTGCTTTTATCCATTTTCCATCCTCTTCAGCTTGTATTAATTCAGGGCTGCAATATTTTATTGTTGTGGTTTTTGACACATGAGTTTTATCTGCTATACATGCAGAATCAAAATCTATCAATTTCCAATTTTCATCACGAAAATACATTATATTTTTTGGTGATAAATCCAAATGAACTATTTTATTTACGAAAAATGAGAATTAACTTCATCACATAAATAAATGAGCAATTAAATATTTATATTAATATGTGAGTAATTACCTATATTTTTATGTTGACATTCAGATAATGCAGCTACAATATCCTATAAAATATTTTTTAAGATATATGATTTGTCATACATAGCATGTAATATAAATTTTAAATTTTAGGTTTTTATGGAAAACTTACTTTTATTATTGGCATCTTTTCTGCTTGTCTTTGGGTCCATGCCTGGTGATCAAAAAAAGTTTCTAAATCATATAGTGCGCATTCACTAACAACTACTATCTTATGTGAATCATAATCTATAATTTGCATAATATTCTATAATAAAAAAAAGAAAATTTAAATACATATTTCTCTGGTTCATAGTGACACATTAAGAAATTACCTTTGCCCCTTTCAATGAAATCAATGCATCTATTTCTCTTTTATATGAAATAATATCATCATATCCTTTTATAATATAGTATTCTGATTCAATTGGTTTTTTATATGCTTTGAACACATTAAGCTTTCTTCCATAATTAAATTTTCTACATACATTTTATGTATATGTGCACATATATATTATATTTATTTAAATGCTTGTGACAATAATAAATAGTAATAATAATAACTAACAACCAACCTGATTATTTGATATTCATCATCATTAATAATAATATTATTATTAACATTGTTATTATCCTTTTTATTGTCATAACTACCTGGTTCATTGTAATAAACGTTGTGTTTGATGAAATTATTATAATCTGGTGATAAAGCGGAAGGTTGTGAATAATTCATATTTTAAATTAATAAATATTTATTTGTTAAGATGAATTTAAAAAAAAACCAAAAAGATGATACAAAATCGAGAATTCGGAAATTTAACACTAGTACTAAAACAAAAAAATACTTTATTCAAGTTTCACAGAACTTTTTTAGACAAAGTAATTGATAGATAACGAAATTCCCAAACTCTATTGTATATATATATATATCAAAGTTGATCTTTACCTTTCGTAATCTTTTTAGTGAAATTTTTTGTTACACGAAATGTTATACTTCACCAATATATAATTGTTACCTTTCTAAATTGGAAATCAAGTTCAGATCCAATTCAAATCCAGTTTATCACTTGAAATGTTTGTAAAGTTACGTTGCACGATATAAAAAATTAATGTAACATTTCAAATTTCCACTATGCTCTAAAAAGGATCTTTTTTTATTAACATGTCTTAAAAGAAATATTTTGTAGAACCGTAAATGGTTTGTTCGCACACACAATTACATTATTTGGCATTTTAAATAATATTAATATTTCATTCTCAAAATCGATTGCCCCTGATAATCACAATAACTATTAATATAGATGATTTTGACGTGACGTGATAGAAAATTGATCGGCAAATGTAAGAATAATCCTTAATATTAAGTATATACTACGAATAAATAAACGCTTTTTTCATACCCGCTATATAGTAATTTTGTGTATAAATAATGATGCTGAGATGGTCAAACGATTTGTTTTGTTGTTGATGATAATATTGATGTGAACCGGATTAATACTTGGTTGTTATTATTATTAGTAGAAGAAGCTGTCTTTTGTCGTTGTTGTTGTTGTTCATCATTATTGGTAGAAACTAATTTTCTGATTCCTTTTAAACAGCCAATAAAAATTAGGTTTGATCGTGATTCAAGGTTGCTTTTGTCCAATATAACAATAGAGAAAGAGAGATGGAAAAAAAATTAATAAAAGAGAAGCTTTATAGAAAGGCCCAGTATAAGTAGGGCGAGTGAAATGTAGTCTTTTTTTTTCGGGATAGTATATTTTTAGAAATCTTTATTTTGCTCAGAATTCATTCATTTTGTCAAATATGCCGAAAAATTTTTTTTGCGGATTATCTATATTTATTTACACCAAACATAATAGTCAAAAAATTAAAAATTTTATTATCCCAATCACGTTTACTTATATTAAATGTAGTATATAATATACCGAATACTTGAATATAAAAATAAAAAATAAAAAAAATAAAAAAATGTTTGACTCGAGAATTGACCACAATAGCAAATTTTAACATCCTTTGTGGTGTAAGTAAAAAATATGTCTCATGTTTAAATCGACCGCAAATGATATCGAAAACATTTCTGAGCCTAGTTGTTTTCAGAGTTTGCCATATCATTTCTCAATTTATTGACAAAAACACTGAACGGATTGAATTTTGAAAATCGTTAAAAAAATTGTAAAATTTTAAATTGCAATGTAAAGCTACCTTTTATTAATGAATTAAGTGAAGAAGAAGATGGCGGTAGTGTATTTATCTTTCAAGAAGATAATGTACAATGCATATGGAAAGGAGATAATAACAATATGGTTCTCTCCGTCCAAAGTCCATATCTCAATCTTATTGAAAATTTTGGTAGGTTAATCAAAAATAAGACTGAATTATTTAATTTATTGAAAGAGGAATGGTTTAGTACTAGTCTAGAAAAAATTAATAATAATAAATTAATAGATAGTATGTCACGAAGGGTTGATACTATTTAAAAAAGTAGAGGAAACCCAACAGGTATTGATTTTGTTTTAATAAAATACAATTAATTTAAAATAGTTTCATATATTTTTTGATGCCTTTTATGTTTCAAATTAGTGTTGCTAGTTTAACATTAATGTTGACGCCAAAAAATTTTTTGAATAGGTTTTATGTGAATCAAAAGGAAACCTGACTTGGTTGGATTAGCCTAGCTATTGATTGACCTATAATGATAATGATAAATTTGTTTAGTTTGATTATTTATGCTGGCTATGAAATGTGAAATTTCTTGGCCCAATTTATTTATAAACCTTAAATTGACTAATTATAATTGAATTAACTTAATATGTTCAAGCCACCATTAAGCATTTTTAATCTATTTATAAAATTTTTTATTTATTATTATTACCATCAGGTTTTTTCCAAATTTGGATACTGTAATGACCAAAAATCTAGATTCATTGTTGTAAAAAATGTTTGGCTAAATTTTATGCAGGTCTTTTCATATATAATGCTTTTTTTATGGAGAAAAATAAATGGGTCAGTACAATTAGGGCTTCTATTCGTAATACAAATTCTTATTCGAGTTATTCGTAATACAGGTGACCTTTAATATTAATTCGAATTAAAAAGTTTATTCGAATTAAAAATTTAATTCGCTTTATTCAAATTATTTGTTTTATTTGTTTTATCTTGGGTTTGTTCATTCATTTTATTAGATTATTTGGAATCATGGGTTGTTCAATTACTTAAATATTCAAACTATATATACAACAAGGTTTAATATTGATTTTATTATTATAAAAATTGAAATTAAAAATGAAACTAATAAGGAAAGACTGAAACAAGATTCATGTTTCTTTTAATAAATAGCAATCTTTCCAGTGAGCTTGAATTTAAACTGGACCTTAATTATTTGTTTTATCCGAATTAATTTTTTCGAATTATTTGCTTTATTCAAATTAATATTAATATTAATATTAATTTCCTTATTCGAATAATAATAAACTTTCAATGTAATTCGAATACTCAAATTCATAATAATAATAATAATAATAACGAATAAAGTGAATAATTCGAATAAACCTTATTCGAATAGAAACCCTAAATTTGTGTTTAAGGATCTTCCTGAAAACATACTTGTTATGGATATATGCATAAATTAAAATGATTATCGCAAGTTTTTTTTTTTGTGGAAAAAATAATTAACACAATGAATAATAAAAAGAAAATTGAACTTCAAGATCTACTTGGTGCGATCCAAGAAGAAACTGGTTTCAGTGGTTTAAAACAAAAATTAGCCTCACTTGAAAGTGGTGGTAATAAAGGAACGTACAAAGATCCTTTGCCACCACCTTTGCCCAAACGACTTAAAGATAGATTAAATCGACAAGCGGCTTATGAGGAAACAAAAAAAGAGATTTCAAAATGGGAACCGATTGTTAAACAAAATCGCATAGCAGATCACTTGGTTTTTCCAATAGATGCCATACCACAACATCGTCCAACTAATAGTCTATTGGCCGGTACATTCAAGGTATGCATCAATGTATTGATTGATGTTAAACAATTTAACGAAGAATTTTATATATTAATTGATTAATTAAATTTTTTAATTATAAAAAGCCTTCAACAAACTTAGAAAAAGAAGTAGAATCTATACTGGTGGAAAGTGGATTGAAACAGGGAAATGAAAAAGAACTTCAACAATATGAAAAACTCCAGTTAAACAAATTATCAATAGATGAAATAAAAACTCGAACAAAGGAACTTCGTAGAATGCGTGAATTAATGTTTCGAGAAGAAATTAAAGCAAAAAGGATTGCAAAAATCAAGAGTAAAACATATAGAAAAATTCGGAGAAAAGAAAAGATTAAATTAAATCTTGACCAATTATCACAACTAGATCCAGAGCTTGCAAGAGAAGAACGTATAAAACTTGATACAGCTAGAGCAAAAGAACGTATGACCCTAAAACACAAGAATACAACTAAATGGGCTAAACAATTATTAAAAAATGGACATCATGATCCTGAAAGTCAACAGGCAATAGTGGATCAATTGAAGAGACACGAAGAACTCAATCGCAAAATTCATGATCTTGGCTCTGATGAAGAATTGGATGATATAAGAAGTGAAAGTGATGATGCTTATGATGATAATGATAAACTGGAAAAAAATATTGAAGCAATTAAAGATGATGCTTTTGATGAACTATCCCAATTAGTAAATGATGAAGCTTTAAAAGATGAAACATCATTAGGTATAATGGGTATGAAATTTATGAAAAATGCTATTGAAAGAGAAAGCAAACAAACTGGTAAAATAATAGACGATTTTGTTGAGGATTTGGAAAATAATAATTTCAGTGAAGAAAAAAGTGATGGTGATGATGATGATGACGACGACGACGATGATGGTGACGATGATGATGGTGACAGAGAAGGAGGAGGTAGCAATAAAAAAAAGAAGGCCAAAAAAAATCATGATGAAAAAGAATCAATTACTTTTGTTGGTAATAATATGGGAAGAATGATAATTGGTGCTGGAACAAAGGTAGGGTTTTTTTATTTTTCAAATGAATTCTTAAAATTTAATAAAAAAAAAAGATTAACAAATTTTTAATTAATTATATATACAGAACCAATTACTAAAAAAGCAAGAAAATACTAAAGTTTTATTTGATCAAGGACCAACTATAAAAAAAGTATGCATTTAAACATTCTCAAAAACATTAAAATATGGATTATTAATTGTTTAAACAATTATTCAATAGTTTGTGTAGGAGTGATCGAAGTAAGCATTAAGGACAAGATCTATTAACAAAATATAATAACAAA